TATATCATGCACCAATTGTTATACTATTATTTAAAAATGTCTTATATATCTTTTTATATTTCTATATTTGATTTATTATTTATCTATTAATTTGCTTATAATATTTGATCAATCTCAAGTTAATAAGATGAAACTAAAATATCCTAACGGAAATAGAATTAATTTGTATTCCCAGTAAAACCGAAAAAAAGAAAAGAAGAAAGAGAGAAAATCATCCAAGTAAATGATATAGAAAAGTAAGAAGAATATATCATGCTGACCGCGCCTCGATAACATTTATATAAGCTAAGAGGATATTATGGTAGTACTTGTTTAGGGCCACCCCTCCTAGGGTGATTCTGATTCTATAGAAGAGTAGAGGAGGGAGTGGTAAAAGGAGGAACGTTGAAAGTTGTGGACGAGAGAAACGACTGGAAGGAAGAAGAGGAAAAGGAAGGAAAGGAAAGGAAGGAAGGAAGGAGGGCGTTGGCGGAGGTTGGACGATGAGGAAGGGACAGGGACAGGGAAAGAGAAAGAGGAACATGATCGTGGAACCGAGTGAACGAGAAGAAGTAAGGGGGAGAGAAGAAGGGGCGCACTCGCCGTCGTGCATCCATCCATATCCATCCCGGGGTGGCTAGGCTTTGATTACTTGTTTTAATCTTCCGACTGCCGACCGGGCGAGCATCTGTCACTCAAAATCCGTAATTGCGCGCCCACCCTTTTGCCATCTCCATCCGTAGATTCACCTACCAGAAATGAGCGAACGAGAGAAACGAATGAGCAAGAATGAGTGAGAGCTGTTATCCCATCCCAATTCAACTTTCCTCTCTTTCCTAACCACCCACACTGATTGTGACAATTCGAGAGACGCATTCTCTTATTCTTTTTCTTCGTTCAAGTCCTATCCCTATTCCCTTACCCTGTACCCTTACTACTTACACTACTCACCTTCTATATCCTTGCTTTTTTCCTCTCCTAAAAGACAATTCTTCGCGATAATCATCGTATCATCGTACGGTCTCGGTGAGTTTCTTTCCTTTGAAAAAAATCAGGGAACAGATGCGTTCTGAGCAGTAACAACGGGTACCACCACTACCATTACCATCAACTACATCAGTAGCAGCAGCAGCAACAGCAGCACCATCCTATATGTATATACGTAAGAGCAAAAGCGCAAGGCTCCTCGTACGGGACTCCGTGAGGGCCCATAGGGGTGCCGTCAGAGAGTCTCTTGGGATTATTTTCGCTCGATTATCTGTAGGACGTGGGGTCAAGGCGAAGTACTTTATCCCGATGGAAGAATAGTAGACGGTTCTCTATTAGCGCTAAAAGTACCGATAAAGACGTGGGATAAAAAGAGAGAGAGAGAGGGGATAAGAGAACGAGAGTGAGGGAATGGACTACTGGGAAGGGAGTTTAGGGCTTCAAAACTGAGAGAAAGGGAAAAAAGAAAGAGAAGAACATGATGCGCTTCTTCTCATTTTTCGTCTTCGACTACCATCACCACCACCACCATCACCACCGTTATTATCACCATTACTATTACGATCTGCAGCATCAGGAACAGCGTTAGAAGGCTATTCCCTTAGGGGTTTTGCTCCGATTCTTTTCGGTCGTACACGTCGGCCGTTTAGGTACCGCCAACCGTGATTCTTGCACACCATCGATCGTTCCCCTGTAAAAGAACAACGAGAACGACGTGGACGACGAAGACAACGACGACGACGACGACGACGACGACGACGAGATGTCTTTTCTCCTTGTTTTATTCCGTTTTTGATTATTAGCGGTAAAAGGGTATGGGAATGATAGGAGGGAAGGAACTGTTGAGGGTAACTTGCAACCGAGCTAGACGTCTTTTCTTCTCTTGGCAAGTTTGTTTTTTTTATTCGTTGTTCACTGAGGTGTTCACGAGTTTGTTGTAACGTTTAGTC